GTGTGTGTGTGTGTGTGTGTGTGTGTGTGTGTGTGTGTGTGTGTGTGTGTGTGTGTGTGTCACTCAGTGTCACTCCACGGGTCTCGGTATCTGTTGAAGCTGATGAGTTGGCAGTGAAACTCGGTGAGCGCTCTGGGCATAGGCGCCACTTCCTCCCACTGACTCCTCCCACTATAATACACCTGCATAGGTAACAAAAACAACATAAAAAATAGACTGATTATAAATTCTTTAATGGGTAATGACAGAAAAAAGGTTCATATTTCTCATTAGTGACAGTTTGTAGGTTTCTTGAATTACATTTAGATTCTGTTTTTTGGATTTTTGTCCTTTGTTCTCTCATTTTTAAAGAATCCCATCTTTYGTCGGTCCTGACTTCCTGTCCCTTCATCATGTTGACCCTGGATTTGTAACTCTCGTGTTCACAATGCATCTGTGTGTTTATAGACTCAGTATGTGTAGAGCCTTGTATTGCCACAGTTTATGCTAAATTCTTGTAGTTTTTTGATTCCTGTTTGTTCTGCAAATAAAAGATCCTTTTAACCATGAAGTGTGTCACCTCTTGTGTCTGCACTTGGGTTTTTGTGATATCCTGACAACATATTGCTATTTACTCTTTGCAAGATTGTGTGTTTAAATTGGAATTTATTTATTTGGGACCACGTGCAGAGAACATATGCACTGTGCCACAGGTAAACACTTTAGGTTTGGTACTGCGGGCTTTTCTTCTCTGGTGCAAACTGTAACTTTTATTAACTATTACAGTGCGTTGTGACCATTCCACTTCTCCACAGACCAACATAATGTGTCGTTCTTTCTGCTGCTCAGATTTATTACTGCTGGTTTTATAAACAACAGTTGTCATTCATGAAAACGCTTGTTTTACCAATTGACATTTATGTATGAAGTCCACTGCACAGTCTGATTGTATTAAACCACTGAATTGAATTTTAAAGCCCAGTTACAGATTCTGTACTTATGGCGGTCAATAAAAAGGCCAACAGTTGTTTGCACTGCTAATAAATAATAAATGCTCAATGCATATTTAATTATTAGGATGATAAATAAACATGTTTCCTGGCTGAGAACCAAACCAGATTTGTATTTTTTCAAAATACAATGCCACTTATGATGATGTCTGCTCAGTGCTGTGCAAACATGTAGATCTGTAATTTTTAGTCAAAACTGCAAAAAATCCAGTTTTATTTTGTAATTGGTGTTTGTTTCAGTTTAACTCTGGTAATCATAAATTTATTTAGTGATTCAGAAGTGACACTGTAGCCAATTTTAACCTTAAAGGGATCCATGATTAGTTGTAACATTAGACTTTATTTGATAAACATATATTTTAACTGTAAAACTAGATACCGCATAGCGGTAACATAATGACCCCCTCATGCACAAATGCACCAGAACTCATAAGTCTTTATTCCTAATAAATGTCATGCTACTAGATGCATCCCAAAATTGTAGTGGTTTGGGT